CAAAAAGAAGAATAATTGAATCAGCAATCTTTTAGTTATGCTAAAACATATGTATTCCCGTAAGTTGATCACATTATTTTCTATATAAAGAATTCTATCTCTTAGATTTGGATAAATGAATACGGAATAATGTTGCATAAGGAAACGTCAGCATTTATACTAGTATTGATTGTGGATATGATATTTAGTGGTAAGTTATTTTACTTCATGATAATTTGTACTGTAAGAATACAAATTTGAAGTGAATTTCTGTTAAAACATGTTCTTTTAATTTCCTGAATGCATGTATAAAATGTTGACTTTTTTATTTTATTTCAAGTTTATTTTATTATTATTCCTAATTTTTTGTGGTCAAGTTTAGAATTATATATTTTTATAAAAAATCTGACTTAGCATATTTATGGTCGTTACATTTTAATGTGGAAATTCTTACCAGAGGAAATGTAAATTTGTAAAAATATTCATATTAATTTTACAGAATGTAATGTTGGCTGCCAATCATGCTCCGGTTCAACTTGCACAAGTTGTGAATCATCTTACTATTTATCAAATGGCTTCTGTTTAATATGTCCTCCAGATTGTGTAAGGTGTAACAGCTACGATGACTGTACTTTATGTAAGCCAAATAAATATGGTTTGCATGAAAGATGTGCTTTCATTTGTGATGGTAATTGTCTAAATGGTGAATGTCATGCTAAAACGGGAGAGTGTACGAAATGTAGGCCCGGTTTATATGGACTTCAATGTCGACACAATTGTAGTTTATGTGAAAATGAACGTTGTGATTTACGGAAATGTTCGAGTGGTTGTAGAGATGGATATTATGAGTACAAAACCGGATTCGAAACAATATGCCAAACCTGTCCGTCAAATTGTAAACATTGTACGGATGGAAAAACATGTAATATTTGCAATAATGGTCTTCACCTGTATCAGTTTAATGGCAATGTTCACTGTGTGTCATGTTCGCAAGAATCACAATGTCCAGACTGTGTTATTGAAGGTTGTAACCTGTGTCAAATACACAATGATTCGTTAGTCTGCGCTGATTGTCCAGAAGGACAAATTTTTAATGGTAAAACATGCGAATCAAACACATCATTATGCTCTAAAGAATGTTCTACGATTTGTGATAGTACTGGAACATGTCAAGGAGAATGTAATGAGGGCTGGGCTGGTGAAAAATGTTCCAAACAATGTAACAGCAAATGTTTAAAATGCTCAAAAGTTTACGAAAATAGTTGTCTACTGTGTGTTGGTCATTTTTATTCAACCGATTGCAGTTTAGCCTGCAACACGGCATGCATAGTAAAAAGTGGTAAACATACATGTGAACATACAAGCGGATATTGTTTAAACGGATGTAACAAAACATTTTGGGGCGATACTTGCGATAAACCTTGTCCTAATGGATGTAAAGATCTGAAATGTGATAGAAAGAATGGTACATGTACGGATGGATGTATGGATGGACTGAGTGGAGATGAATGTACTCAAACTATCACAATTGGTAAACATTATGCATATAATTACTGTCAGGAATTAATTTCAAATAATTCATTTATAAGTAACTGATATGGATTAAATCGCATACATAATTGCCATGTTCATTAAATATTCATGATTATTTGCCCTTTCTTATGGTGGTATAACGTGGATATTGGAAATACTTAATTGCCTGGTTTACACGTGTTGGTATTATTTTGAACGTTGGTAACTATTACGTGCACAAATAGTTTATAAAAACGTTATAACTCGTCTTCAATAACAAGATAATATAATGACGAATAATACTCATTGTCACAGAATTAAATTCATGTTATATATTACGTTGGCATTTAAGAGACATTGATCCGAAAGGCTCCTTTTGTCATTTTAGTTGGCCAGCACGGTAATCGAACCCTCAATGTTGAGATAACAAATTTTGCGTTCTAACCTATTGAGCTGTGCGAGCTGACTTGATAAAGACGACTCTTTTTGCAGCTAATGACGAACAAATTGTTCATGTTATCATTGGACAATCATTATGGTGATATCTATTACACGTCAATGTTATATCTATAGAAACATCAGTGACAACAACAACAACAACAACAACATCAGCCGAACCTGTAACACAACAACAAACATGTGTGCACTGTGAGGATAAAGTTAATATTTTTACCGTTGGTTATTTCTCTGGATTCGGATCTTGTGCTGCAATAGTGGTGTTTGCTGTATTGTTTTACCTGATAAGACGAAGGTTAATGTTTTCACTTATTTAAATCTATTCAAACGAAATTCTCTTTTCTGGTGATAATAATGTTGATTAACATGATGTTATTGTCGCTATTTGATTATTACTTTATTGCTGTGTTTGTACTATCAAGTTAATTATGTTGCTTGCATTTTACGTATTACTTAAAATACACTAAATATGTAATTATGTATGATAATATCAGGAATTTTATTATTTAGGTATCTTGCAAGTAAAACGCCCGTAGGTAGCCGACGTAACGTTGAGGTTCCAACATATTATAACACTAGAACCGATTTCGGAGTTGGAAACACAGAGTCAGTCGATGTGACTAATAATTACGAGAGTTTGAGTAACCACACGATCACGGATAATGTTTACAATGGTAATTGATATATTCTTTATATTCTTTATTTGATAAGTCTAGAATTTAATCAGCTTAAGAATTTGATTTCATTATTATTTATAATTATTATTTATTTATTACAATTAATTGTGTTAATTATTTATTTATTTATTTATCTAATTTCAGATCTAAGAACAACATAGACGTAAGATAAATGGTTTTAGTAATTTATTAGCGAGAACAGCTAATAAATTGTTAGACTGTGTCTGTTGTTTATCTTAATTTCCAATACACATTTTTGTGATAATAAAAACCCTTTTTATTCTTAATCCCAAACATGCATTTAAGAGGTTGCAGTATTGTCCCTTTGTGCGTTTACACTATAAGCCTTTCATGTCCATTTTAGCTAATTCACATGTTGACTTCTCCTGCATGTTTATCTTTAGTGTTAATAAAAGTATATTTGTTGATATTGAGACGGATTAAAAACAATACCAGGAAGCAACATTGCAGGAATTTTCAAAGATTGCGTCAAGGTATTTTTACTTGCCTATGTCTGCGTATTCTTTAACTCAGCAACGATAAGATGTCATGAATATCCTTCTATTACGGTTAAGATACATAAAAAGATGTTCAAACCTATGTACATAACGGATAAGGGATCTGTCCAATAGTGCAGCAGAATTTGTGAGTTATGGTCTTTGAATAAAAAGCGATTTGGTCTGTTATTTTCTGTCTTGTACTACACAGCATCATGCTTCAAAGAGGCGGCGACATGTAGGAAACAAACTGCCCGATCACCCCTTAATACAACTACTGCATTGGCTACCGTCATACACATGCGAGAATTGATCTCTCTTGATTTGTGAATATTTCAATTCTATATTTAGAAAACATGTTAAGAATGTAATTACCAACATACTTATTGGACTATTTTGTGAAAAATCTAATAATTTGATTTGTTCAGCAACACAGAAATAAATGTAAATGTTACTGCATTATTAGAAAGAATTAGGTGCCAGCAAAAAATTTCCTTGAAGTTTCCTCTGTGTCATAGCACATAACATTTACAGTAACTCATCAAACAACTAAGGGTATGATCTTGTAAACATTACTCATAAATTTCGCTAACCGACGGTTATCAGATTTGGTAGGTCTTTGTTAGATAAAGAAAGTTTTTTATTGTTATTTGTAATAGTTTTCAACGTAGTGCTTTAAACAATGCATTGTTAATATTAAAACATAATGGATTCATTGTTAAATGTTTTAGTTATACAATCATATTAAATAAACAAATTTATAAATTTCACCTCGTTATGGGATAAAAATACTTCTACTTTTGCCAATGTCTTCTTCTTAATCAATAATTATTTGTAGATCTAGGAAGACCATAACCATAGACGTCACAGAAATGGTAGGCAGAACTTTGCTATGTCAGAATCAGGATAAATATTATATCTAGACAGAAATGTAGTGACCTTTTACATAAGATACGTTTTACTGTGGTGTTTAAAACTCTATTTGGGCAATGTTTGTTAATTGAGGCAAAATGTATATTTAAAAGATATTATTATAGTATACCATCTGTATTATGTTTTCTCAATTAATGTTTGAATGCCGTTATCATTTAAAGATTATTGTTTAAGAATTAGAAAGATGCTAATATTCTCTTTTTATTGCGTGAACCTACATGTGATATAGATATCTATTTAAGTATCCATACTGAACTTTTTTTCACATCTAACAGACCCGATCCTCTGTAACATTATCAAATTGGAATTTCAAATTATATTTTAAAATAAATAAATGTTTTATTGTAATAAGTGTTTAGTCTTTTATGACATTTTAGAATGTTTGATAGTTATATAACTTTTATTCACATATTTCCAAATTAAACCTTAAGTTTTCACGTTAACTTAATATTGGGACAAGTAAACAATGAGACATCTGTTAAAGAATTTATAATTTTATCAATTTTATATCTACACGCCAGTCTGTAGTTATTATTTTTCATTATTTTGAATCATTCGGTACATTAAGTCGAATAACACAATAATTTCACTACTTCATAAGCACTGTGTACGTCTTGTTACGTGGAAATTTACTATGCAAGGATTGTACAAAAGTAACACAGAATTGATTGTATAATTGTATATTGCAAACGCGCACAGTGGTAATTAAGCGAACCAATATATTTTTAAGTAAATCAAAGTGAAGGAAATGAATAAGCGCTTACGGTTGCTGAGATATTATATACATTTCCAACTTCAACACAAATATTTCCGTGAAAATCTTTTTTTCAAGTTCACCCATGAGAATGACGGACTTGCAAGCATATTGATGACGACTTATGTGTTTCTATTAATATATATTTCGTGGTTGTTTTTGATGTTAGATATCCGGTACACCTGAGTCATTTGCAAACTACGTCTGTCATTTTATGCTGAAAATAATGTCAATTCAACCACAGAGACCATTTTTACCAGGTAATGCCGAATGTGTGAATGTTGCATTAAAGCAACACTGGTTATTTCATACATAGTACATTAGTAATTTTATCTGTTTCCCTTCACTTGTAATTTGTCAAATGTCAAA